AAACGCGTGCGCGAGCGGAAGGAAGTTGTTTGTCCTTACGGAACGGAAAAAAAAAGGACGAGCGCAGACAGAGGCGCGTCACACACGAATTACGTAATCATCCTCCTATCGAAAGACCGGCCCCGACGCGATAGAGAAAGAGAAACAGAGAGAGGGGGAAAGATTACGCGAAATTTATACGTATGATAAAAGTGATGCTCACACGCGGTGACTCGCAGCACGCGAAATCTTGCGAAATATTCCCCGATAACGTTGCATATGTTGAACGAAATCAATGGTAAATTCGACAGAGAGAGAGAGAGGAGTCAATTTTTTACAACTTTAAAGCGGTAAATTATATTTGCTTATCTTTGTGGGAAGCGAGATAAATCTGGAAAAATTTCGATAAATAATACATTGAAAAAATGGAATTTTATATAAAATTATTAAGGAATTTATTAAGGAATTAAATAAAAATTAAATTCTTAAATATTATTAATAATTAAATTATTAAAGAATCATTGATTGAAGAATCACATAAAGATTTGGAAATAAGGTTCTGGGATATTTTAAAAGTCGCAAATCGTCATTGGATGCAAAACTTTGCGTTTACCATATTCCGAGTACGATATAATGAAAAAAAATTGGACAACTCGCTCGCCATATCTAGACTTCCTTTTTGTAGCGAAAAAGTTTCGAAACGAGTCGGTTCACCAGGCGCGCGACATTTTCACGTAAATCGACAGCAGTGCACGTTCTCGATCAAAGTACTACGGCAGATAACCGATAAGATACTCGTCGATCGTCTCACAGACTTACGTAACGGTGGGCGTGTGCTCGAAATTAAATGCTCCGAGTCTTCCCGAGGACGATCAGTCATAAATTCTTTTCTATTTATCTCTCTCTCCAGACGGGAAAGTGTATACATTATTTTGTGTAACGCGAGATAATCAAATTAATCCCAGAGACACGTGAAAAAAGCGCGTTATACGAGAACCGTTGCAGATACATCGAATGCTATTTTTCGCCAACGATAAGAATAAAAGAAAAATTAACACGACACGCAGCACGTGAAGCGCATTAAATTATACACCCGATACGCCATATACGAGCATTAATATTTGATTTAAACGGAAAAAATATAAAATGTTGTATAAAAATATAAATTACATTGGAGCAATTGTGATAAATACCCATTTTTCCCCAATATATCCGTTATGTAAAATTTTCTCGTTTATCGTCGGACGAAAAATAATCTTGCTTTGACGTTATATAATTTTGACACAACGATATCAAATCAAATACATCTACGACGCGTATGCATATGCGCGACATATTAAAATATTCGGAAATCCGAATGTCGGAGCAAGACGGTCGAATATGCTGGACGCATATCGAGGAATATCGCAGACTATCGCAAAGCCTTCCTAATACAGAGCCTCACGAGAGCCTCGGAGGCCAAGAATGTTCCGCGCGCCGCGGCTGACGGCGGCGGCGGCCATCTCGTAAGGTCGTTTCGAGCTGGCCGACGTGTATATAGGGTGTATCAAATGTCGCGCACTTTCTCTCGGCTCGGCGCACTCCGACTAGAGACCGTACTACAAGTAGAATGTCGCTTGCTTCAATGTCGGGGCGTTAATATATGCGAGGACGAGACGTAATATATCGATTGCCAAAAACGTTGACTCCTCTAATCGAAATACGTTTCGAGCAAATCGCGTGAAATTTTGACGGGCACAGTCGGCGCTTGAGATGATGAGAATTCACTCGCGGACGACGGTGCTGTTTTGAAAAAATTGAGAACAGAATGCGATCGAAAAGAAAAATATCCTCCTTTTATAAATAATTGCGATAAATAATTGTAAATATATTTTTTGGAATATGCTCGAAATATATAACTCGAAGAAATTTTCTTTTCAATGATTTTCGAATCTTAATTACTTTGCATAAATTTTGTATTCGTAAACAAGTTTGTGTCTTACTTATTAAAAAGTAATTTAACATCGAATGTTGAAAATATTTTCGACTGATGTTTCGCGCGAAACTTTTGAGCCCATTGATCCCAGATTCGTCGATAAATTTACGAGTCAAGAAATATACTTTCTCTTAATAAAAAATTAAAAGAAATTAAAATTCTTAAAAATCAAAATTTTGACATTGCGTATCACTTTGATGAGATGAAATCGCGATTTGGTATCTCGGTTGCCGTCGGCGACGACTCGACGACGGCGGTATCGACCTTCTCGCACAATGATTCGATGAGATGGAACAGTTTGGTGTGGTAACATCGCTCGTTATAACGTTGAGAATTTGCCGCGCGCGAACTAATATCGGCGAAACCATCGCCCAAGTCTCAAGTTTACCGCGTACACGATTGCGATCGCGAGATTCAACGTGCGTGTTGACGTGCCGCGGAAGTACAACCCCGCTCTTAGTATTTGCGACGAAACACGTAGTACAATAAACTAATCGACCCATCAAATTGAATTTTTCAAATTTTATTAAAATTAACCGAGACTTTTGTGTTTTCGACCGCACTCTGCTCGCTTTAAAATCCCTTTTTACATATCCATTCGAATCCGATAAATTTCCCTGAAAATTATTTTTCGGGTATTTTTGTTTAAAATTTCAGAATAAAAAGAAAATATATTTTAAAAGATTGCAACTTTGTAAAATAAATTTTTCTACTGCATGTATTTTCTAATGTTTTTCATATAAAGCAAAAATATAGAAATTAAATTTCAAATACTAGATTTGTAAACGTACTGAAAAAAGCAAACTTTTATAAACATTTGTCTTCTGCATAAAATTTTTCTATCATTAAAAATTACAACAAAAAATATGTGCTTCGATATTTTGTAAAGATATTGAATATATAAACAAAAAGATGGATATATATTTGATATTTTTTAAATATACATAATTCATAATAATGTAAAAATATTATCAGAGAGAATTTTTGTAAAAATTCTATGAGAATTCCCTGATTTTTCCAAGTACAAAAGAAATTGCTGAGAATTCCAGATTTTACACGTTTTTCCAGAAAGTAGACCTTGTGTTTTTCATTAACCAAATAACGAACATTTATTAAGCAATTTCATTTTATGTTCGAAAAGAACATAAAATTGGAAAAAAGCACAAAACTCTGAATATATCCGAAGAATACGTCGAAACCTTTCTACTCGCGAAACGTAAAATACGCAAAAATGTATATACGTGCGCATATGTGTTTGTTTATATTTTTCGAATTAAAAACAAAATATCATGCCTCGCATCGATGAGAGGGAAGAAAGAGGAAAAATACAAACGAAGAGTGCAGAGACCTCTACGCTAATAAAAATGACCAATTAATAAAATAACAAATTAAACGCGAAAAAGAGAATATAAAATGTGCGTGTCTAAAAATTAAAATTTCCGATAATTTTGTTTACATCTCGATTATTCGCCGCCCACGATTGATTCTGACTCGTGCCACTTTCACTTTCAAAGCACCGAGTAATAAACTAGGGGCCGAAATAACAAACGATTGATAATTCCGTAGACTACATAACGAGCGATTCGCAAGAAACAATCGCGATCGAAGCAATGTCGCGAGAGCCGATGCGAACGAGTCTTATGGCAGGCATCGCGTATGCCTGGCAGCGAATGCCAACGTTTAAATTAGAAGCAGCGTGCAAGAAAATCATAAGCGATCGGCGACTCGTCTGTGAGTTATAAAAAATCGGTCGGAAAGAGAGCGACGATGGGAGATTGCGACAAGCCAGATGAACGAAACCTTACGCAATTGATATTCGCGAAAATTAAAATCGAAATTGAAGACTGAAAACGATCGGGCACCAATTTGGAAGGAGAGCAATTAATTAATCGCGATTTAATGGAATTTTCAGAGATTAGAAATGTAGGATTGAAATAATTTAAAAATCAGCCACTTGAAAAAATGATTTTCTTTTAAATTATAGACTTTTCGCGCAGTTTGATGAGCAAAATTCAACTCGTCTCTAGATTCTTAATCAAATTTTATTTCCCAAAGAGCGACCCTTTGGAAGCGTTTCACTTTTTCAATCGTCACTTTTCACTCGCGTTGTTTAATAAATATTTTTGTCGAGGATGCATGTTGCACGAGACAGGATCGCACTTTGCAGGATTTCACCGACGTCGAGTCGCAGAAGGCTTGTAAAATTCAATACTTTAAACACTTTGGACGTGGCAAATATCAAAATCCGATATTGGGCGTAAAACAAAAAACAACCATCTAGTCGCACGAGTAATTTTTACCTTTTTATAAAGAAGAGGATATTTTTTAACCTTATATATTTAAGTATTATATAAATTTACGTATATATCGTACACTTTTTCAACACGCACATCGGTGAAATCGCGTATAATTAAGATTCATATCTCTCCAGGACGAATCCGACTCGCACAAACACCTTTCGTTGTCATTAGCTACGATGTGAACGACAACTGGACGATTTTACGCGAAAATTAACTCCCGAAGAAAGACAAAACTCTATCTCAAACAGAGGTTTCACAATGTCGTTCGATTATAACTCATTTTCCTCTATTTTGTACAAATTCATTTCCGACACACGTCAACTTGAATTTCAACATTTTTTACATACAACACTGAATCATCGTTCTTGGTCGCGATGCAGATTCCTCCCGGAAAGGTACAAGTAAATCTTTACCGTCGCGTCGCTTCCGGCGCGCTAATTTCCGTGAATCCAGGAGAGAAGGAGAGATAGATAGATAGATAGAAAGAGAGAGAAAGAGAGAGAGGAAGAGAGAGGCGAGCAAGCGAGCGTCGCGTTTCATTGAAAGAGAGCCGTTTTTTTTCTATTCCCTCCTTTTAAAAATGAATATTCGCCCCCGACCGGGGGGGCAGGGAGCAGAGGGCGGGGGACGGACGCACAATACCGCTCTTTTAGAAACATCTCCGAGCGACTCGCCGCTATTACTTCCTCGCCTCTTTTCCCGGCTCCGCCTCGTCGAGGCGCAATAAAATCGCATGATATACGTACTCGGAGCGAATCCGTCGGCCCGCTATCTTCAAGTTCACACGCGGAGCGGCGCCGAGAGTGGAGATAGCCCTATTAATAGGTCCGTTATTTTCGGGGTCCCCGTCTCGTCTCTCTCGAGACGCCGGTTACTCGACGACGCTTCTCGCACTGCTGGACTCTTGGAGCACTCAACTATGCGGCAAGACCAAAGGCTCGATCACATAATATCACTGTCAACACCGAGGCAGCCGAGGCGATGACGAGACGATGACGAATCCGTCGACGGCGAGGACACAGGGTACGGAGAGAGAAAGAGAGAGAGAGATAGATGGATCCGGGAGCCGCGGGAACGAACCCGGGGCACCAGCCTCGCGCACAACGCGTATAGCAAAAAAAAAAAAAAAAGAGAGAAAAAGGGAAAAAGACGAGATGGTCGAGCACTCGGTCGGTAAACACGCGACGAGGAAAGATTAACGCGTACGCCCGAAGGGAACGAGCGAGGAGCACGTACATACGAGGGATCGGCGGGCTCGAAACGAACGCGAAACGACGGGCAAACTCGCGGCGTTGGAGACAAACGCGGTCACAAACTGCGACGCGAGACGCGACGCGCAGCGTTTTGTCGCTCGCGAAAGGCCGCGATCGTCGAGGAAAATCCGGGTACAAATTTGTCACTGTACACACTGCGAGCACTTCGACGAACGTTTCGTATTTTCGGGATACGCAGGTGCGAACGCTTCACGTTACGACGGCCACCCTCGTCGTCATCGCCATCATCGAGTTCTCTCTCTTTTGTTTCCTTCTTTCTATTTCGTCGCTCTAATCCTTACTCCGCTTTATCCTGAACGAGAAATAAGTAGGATAAATAGGGAGAAAGAGAGAGAGAGAGAGAGAGAGAGAGAGAGAGAGAGAGAGAGAGAGAGAGAGAGAGAGAGAGAGAGAGAGAGAGAGAGAGACGGAAAGGGAGAAAAGGAGCGAGCTAGACGGAGAAAGAGGAAAGGAAAAAGAGAGAGAGAGAGAGCGTATTCGTGGCGGGTAGTTGACGTCGCTTGTGTGGGTGCGTGGATGTGCGTGAGAAAGAAAATGAGAGATTACGCACACTCGCGTGATTGCCTAAAAGAGAGGGAACGAGAAGCGGAGGAGCGAGCGTGCGAGAGAGAGAGAGAGAGAGAGATGGATGGGCGAGAATAAAAGAAAGAGAGAGACGGATAAACGCAAGGACAAAGAGAGAAGGAGAGCGATAGACTCGACAAAAGGAGCACGAGCGGGACGAGCGTTTCGAGGCGCTTTTTCTTTCTTAGGATCCTCTGTCCATCTCTCTCCTCGCTTAATTTCATCGGGTGGACGAGACGTTACGTGACGCGACCGATGCCTTCCGACGCGATGACGAGAGAACGTTACCGACGACGACGACGATGACGACGGCGATGGATATCCCTCGTCGTTGGCGCACATTAATCTTCGCGAGAGGCTTACCCGCGGCGAACTTATTCCCTCGGTTTATCGTATTCCCTGGCGATGATGCGTCGTTGGCCAGTGGGCGCACCGGCGTTAGCGAACAACAACCACCGCGACGACGACGACGACGACGACGACGACAACGACGACGACGACGACGACGACGGCGGCGGCGGCGACGACGACGACGAGGACGGTTGCTGTCGCTGCTGCTGCTGCTGCTGCTGCGACGGCGGTGGCGGCGGCGGCGACGGCGGCGGCGGCGGCGGCGGCGGCGGTGGCGGCGGCGACGACGACGACGACGACGACGGCGACAACGGGCCACCGCGATTAAAAAACACTCGCGTTCTCGCGCACTCGCGACCCGACGACGACACGGTGTCTCGTTGCTGCGGCACGAAAATCGGCGCGGCCGGTCCACACGGCGTTTTCAGGGCCGCCAGGTTAACGTCACGAAATCCACCGCACACAACCATAGATCCAAACGGCGGACGGACGGACGTAAGGACGGACGGCAGGCTGGCAGGCAGGCAAGGCGGAATCACGGGTGAGGCGGCGGGCGGGGCGCGGGACCGGGGGGCGGCGGGAGGAGGGGGCAGCGGCGGCCGCGGGGTGAGGGTAACGGGCCGCCGGGCGAGAGCGGGCGAGGGGGCGCGCGCGACGGGGGAGCGAGCGCGGAGAGGGGGAAGGAGAGACCCGAGAACGAACGAACGACCGACCGAGCGAGCGACGTAGCGGCTTCGCGCGCGCGGTCGCCCGAGGGTGGGGGGAGACTGCGCTAGCTCAGGATCGGCCCGAGCGACCGAGCGGGCCCCGAGGATCCCTCTTTCCTCGCCTCTTTCCTCGCCTCCGCGCCCGAGATTGGCCTATTCGCCTATTTCTCGGATTCTACGATTTTGAAAGACGATGGATCCTTTAGGATTCGTTGCGAGAATCTTTCCGAGACTCTCCATTGGCTGGCCGTTTTTGGCGGACGTAAGCGAAGCGTTCTTCCCGACTTAAAGCGGATAGACCGAGATGCGCGAGCCGAGCCGACGAGAAGACGAAACGTCGCCGTCTGGCGTTAAATTCTCTGCCGCGTTATTCGAGGATGTTTAAGGATCGATGACACGAGAAAAGCGTGTATACGATCCTAACGCGATCAAACTCTCGAAAGCGTAGAATCTCGCATAGTTTGTCGAAATTCCGTGGAAACGCGCGCTCGCGCGTCCTTTGGACTTGTACTTTCACTCGGGCTTCCATTTTCTGTTATTTTCGGTCCGCCGAACGCGCTCGTTCCTCTCGCGCGTAATAAAACGCACAAAGGGGCCGCTCTCCCATCCATCTCGCGTCTTGATTTCCACGCCGCCCTGAGAGAGAGAGAGATCCGAGATTCGTCCGTTTTGTAATTTCCAAGCGTCTGCGTTCGCAGGTATATCGCGAATTTTATCGGGCCGTATTCTCTCGTCTCGTCTCGTCTCGTCTCGCTCGCCGGACGCGTCTAACAATCGACGCGAGACGGACGATCCGCGCGAATAACGTGCCGAGGAAGCGACGCGTTCGATACAAACAAGACTCCGCTTCGTCTGCGCTGTTTCTCTTTCATAAACGGCTGCATCTGCTTCTCGAGTGAATTAAAACGACGCGATAATGAAGCTTCGCGACGATCTACGATTTGACGTATTCAAAAAATGCCCATTTTGACAAGTCGCTGATGATTTACTTTTAGATATATAGCATTATTGCGTAAATATTTTAGATTTAAAAGTATACGCCAATCTAGGTTATTACATATTACGTCGTTTTTATATCAAACATGTTCTCGGGGGATGAAACGCGCTTGAATTTAAACGAGAATTACATGATAAATCGACACAATCTATGAAATTCCCAAGGAATTTGATCGATAACCAGAGCCCTCGTAATTTTTCGTCGATGGACGTGGCATGGGGCGCGCAAAATCGCTGCGTACGGTGCTGGTCGAGAGCACAAGAGCGAACAAGCAGGCCAGCCGCGTAGCGGGGGGAGAGGGAAGCTCGAGCGGCGGGGATGGGCTCGCGGCGGGAGAGGGGGCGGACGACGGCGAGGGAGGCGGGAGGGTGTACTGTTGATCCCGGCCGCGCGGAGGGAGGGGGGTTGGAGCGAGATCGAACGAGCGCGCGGAAGCGAGATGGCGCGACACGCCGGGCCGCGCGGCAACGTCGCGCAGCGCGCGCGGCAACGTCGGCCAGGAGGGCCCTCACGGACGCCAGGCGATCCACCGACACTCACGGGCGTGCGGAGAACGGCGGACCAGAGAAGGAAAGAATCCCGTTTTGCCGCGCTGGAGAAGATGGAAGAGACGAGGAGAGAGAGATAGATAGAGAGAGAGAGAGAGAGAGATGTGAATAAGCGAGGGGAGGGCGGAGCGGAGAGGACGAACGAGCGAAAGAGAAGGTTGTGGAAGCGAAGGCAGAGAGAAAGAAAGAGAGAGAGATGGCACGCAGGCTACGAAGTTTTCCGCCCGATCTCTCGAGATTTCAGAAAAGCGTTTGATGCATTCGGAATACATATATATATATATATATATATATATATATATATATATATATATATATATTTATACGTGTGTCGATTGCGTAGTTTTATTTGTCCGACGCATTTTTTTACGCACCCCGGGAGACGCGGGTTTCCATCACCGTCGTGGATATCGCGACGAAGCAACTTTGTCTTGAGATTACGATAATTTCCTTCACGTCGCGAAACGAGTCGCTATTGAATCGCACGAGAGGCGTTTCCGCTTCTGCGAACCGCGCAAATTACTTTTGCGCGTCGAACCCTCCTCTCGTTTGCGGCAAAGACCGAAAAGAAACCCCGGAGAATCGATGAAAATTTCAACCGGAATAAAATTTTCCCCAGTCATTTATTTATCGCGCGTCATTTATTTATCGCTCGTCGACGAAAATGAAATTAAATGTTTATCTCCTCCTACGCTGTATTCTGTATCGTCGATGAATGAAAATTCAATTGGAGCGCGCGTCGATGGCATCTAGGAATTCGAAACACTCGGTCGAACTTATAGCAGCCGAGTCCCGACAAATCCCCGTCATTAATACGCAATGAGCGAGACGTATGCGTCGTATACGTCGCGAGTACGACCGCGAGTTCTACAGCCTTTTTACGACCCCGCGCGATCGGACAATGAATAAGTTAAACAAAACAAGTTAGTAGGTCAGACGCCCCGCGCGCACTCGTGTCGACCGCGTCCGAAAGTTTCGCGCGATAGAGCGGATAAACACGCGGTTCGTTTGAGCGAGCAAAGATGGAGTCGGTCGATCTCGATAGCGCGCGAGAAAAATTCAGAGTGGTCGCGCCACGAGAGAGAGCGAGAGAGCGATAGCGAGCGCGCGAGCGAGAGAGAGAGAGAGAGAGAGAGAAAGCGATAGCGAGCGAGCGAGAGAGAGAGAGAGAGACTCCGATTTCCCCGGAGGAATCTGCGTAAGGAGATTGATTCATTTCTTCGCGCACGTTCCTACACGAAACTCGACAAGCAAACGTATGATAAGAGTGTATACGCGTTAATGCGTCATATGTACAAATATCGCATTTATTGCATGCGAGACTAAAGTATGTATATACATATGTGCATACATGTATAGAACGTTTCACGCAAAATGTTGCGAGGTTTTTTCCAAACCTTGACATATAAAAAATATTTCAGACGAAGGGTGATACAAACATAAATTTTAATTAAAATCATTTTTAAGATCAATCTCTAGTTTTTCATATGCGATTCTTTTTTTTACATAAATGGCCAAAAATTGAATAGGTAGTTTACAAGATATTTCGTATACTTTAATTCGATATAATTTTATAAAAACTAAAAAATAAAGGAAATTAATTTGTTAATTGTCTTCATATTTTTATGCGCTATTTTTTTTTAAAGCTGTTTTTTTTACAGCAAATGATTCTTATTTTTATAAAAAATAAGAATCATTTGCTGTAAAAAAAAACACAGCTTTAAAAAATTTTTATAAAAAATAAGAATCATTTGCTGTAAAAAAACACAGCTTTAAAAAAAAAGAATACAAATTCATCTTTTCCTAAAAACAGTTATGCATATGTTTTTTTACAGCAATTGATTTCCCTCGTTACTGTGCATAAAAAGTGTAGAGGCAAGATAATCGACGGATGAATTTTCTTATATATATATGTAATATAATATATGCTTTGGAGGCGGAGTGAGATCGGCGCAGTTTTCGTTTGTGTATAAACACGCGATTCCGTTACTTCCTATAGATATTTGGAAA